TATAGTGTTTTAGCGGCTTTTAGAAGAACGGTTGCGGCCGGTGACATTTTTACGGAAATGCATTCTACTTTATGCGAACCATCCTTTAAGATTGAAGTGGGAGCCTCCAAGATCCTAAAATGGACAACTTGACTTAATGAGATAAAAAAGTTATAACCAACGAGGTAATTGGACGGAGAAATTAATACTTACAAGTTTGTCCCAAGCACTACAGGTTCCTCCCAAAAAAACCTAACATCAATATTTCGCACTTTCCTTTGCATTGGTGTGTCCCGAAAAGTTGCAACAGCCACACCAGCGCTACATCGCGGCAAGTGCAAGTACAGGTTTTTATACATTTTATACGCGTGCTAGCGGCGTCCTATTGGCCGCTTATACGTTGACGATTACACCCTAATCGAACCCTCATTTTGGACCTAGCCAGCGGACTGATTATTATTGAATTCTATAGACATAACTTTGGACCCAATAGACACAGAGAGAAAGTAGTGATGTTATGTATCGGTTGAAACGGGTGGTTGTTGTAGACCAAGGGGGAAAAATATGATGGACCAACGATAGAGTCTCTCATGGGTTGCCGTTAGTTAGTCTATTACTCACACTGGAAAAAAAAAACACATTGGATCTAGAGTCCAGGCTCTTTAAAACATCGACAAGATAAAGTACTCTTGATTCAATCAGAATCTAGCTTAAATCAAGAACCATGCCTCTTAATTTAAGCGGATTTCGTTTTGATTCAAGTAAAAATCCGATTGAATCAAGAGTATTTTTTCTTGTCAATGTTTTCAAGAGTCTGGAATCAAGATCCAATGTGTTTTTTTTCCAGTGCACCTTCTTTGTCCATCGCAACCAGCCGAGGACAGCTCCACTTTCTCCTCGTCTTCTTGTCTATCGCTTTGTCTATCAATTTCAATAATCAGCCCGCTGTGTCTCTACCGAGGTCTGGTTCAGCGGTTCAGCGGTTCAGTTTTAGCCACTACCGGGCCCTGAATCATTTTTAAAATGAGGGGGTAGGGGTCCGTTCCTGCCGAGATTTCAAGGGCGGAAAACGGCCTATATACCCGGGGCGCGGTAGCTGGATTTAACGCTAAAGAAGGCTGTAAAGCTCTAATCGCCCATTTCGTGATGATAGCAATTACGGTGGCCGGGAGGCGCGGGGGGTAAGCGTTCCCGGGAGGGGGAGGAGTTGCACAAATCGACATATCGCCGCGTTTCGAGGTTCCGTCGCGTTGGGGATCAGGATCGGGCATCGAGGCGAGCGACTGGCGCGGATTCCCATTTATGGACATCCCATGACAGTGGCACCGCCACGGCCCCCGACGCTCGCGCCGCTCCTGCCCCAAACGCCACCGCGCTCCCACCGTTGCCGGATTTCCGATCACCTCGTCACATCTGTCAGTGAAAATGAGTGAAAGTGAGGTCACGAAGTCTTGAAAAGTCAGGAAAACTTGCGGAGGAGTCTGAAAAGTTTATTCGGCCGCGAAAGTGTGGAAGATTTGCCACCAGACCTTTAATTTTCTCGACCTTGGCAAACTTTTTAGCGTTTGCTCCATTTTTAAATGTTGCAAAGCGCTGGAGCTGGAGCCTACTGAATCCGCTGGATTTCCGTTGCATGAAATCGAAACAGTTGCATCTCAAAAACATTTAATGGCATGTAGGGATCGTCTGTAATCTATATCGCCTCCCCTTTGACGTAAGAGCGTTGGTCAATATCCACTTCAATCCTGGAAAGCATAAAACCACACGGAGAACAGGACTTACATTGAAATGATTTATGCCTTCACGTCAGAGGATCGACGATATGACGCTAAGAACTTTTTCCGAATTTTGACACCCCCTCCCTCCACTTATTTCAGGTACTTTTCACCCTCCCACCCTTCTTTAAAAGCAGGCTGTCCTGAATTTTCCCCTTCCCCCTTAGTACCTGATGTCTTCTGTTGTTATGTATGTTTACGTTCCGCATGCAACATTGGGTGGTTCTAGGCGAAAAGAAGATTCTGCATCCTCACCCCATTCCGGCATGCGACTTCTTAGGATCCCGGTTGGTTGGTCTTTTCTCTGAAATCCTTTGATTTCAGCGGTGGAGCGTGGCAACGGCCCCGTCGGACTGTTCGGTTTCAGGTTTGCCTTCGATCCGTCAGTCGGTCGCTCTGTCCTCCTCGAGTCGGCGAGAGGCTGCGGTCCCGGTCGGCGGAATTGGACTCCCACCTGGCGCCTACACTTTTTCACACACCTCGCGCAATCGCCAAGCCTCGCGCCCGCCAAGCTGCACCCCGCCCCGCCCGGCTCGTCCACGCCGCATCCGGATGCTCATGCTCGCGCATATGTGATCCTCGCAGAATCCTTTCGATTTCAACCTCATTCTCTGACTCATTTCGAACGCTTAACCGGTTCATCTTTTGTCAAATGTTAAATTCATACGAGGAACATGAACCGCCGCTTTAGAGGGAAGAACAGAGAGCGATTGCGTCTTGAATTTTGCGGCTGTGTGACGTCACTTGGTATAGCTTTGATCCAGAGACAAAGAGAAGCCTTTCTTTAACCTCTTGGCGACAGGTGGAAACTTTTACTTTTGGGGATTCCACAATTCCGTATGGACAATTCGACGGTGTGTGTGAGTCGGCAATCACATAACTCGGTTTGCGACGTCGCAGACTTCCTGTCTACTTTATTTTTTAAACGGAAAAATATTCGGCAATTCTTTAGAACTCCCGTGATTTTTCTTTTCTGTGCAAAGAAAATTCTGCAAAAACCTCAGGGAATGATGTCAATTTGTTCTCCTTTAAAAAAATAACATAGAGGCGGAGATTTTCAAACACCGCAAACGAGCTATGTGATTGTCGACTTACACCGTCGAATTATCAGGAGCCCTTTTTGGCTGATAACCTACCTATAAGGTGGATGATGAGCTTTTGGGTGACTCCATGAGCCGAACAGGTTTACCGAAAGAGACATTCAACACGTAGTCAAACATCCATCTAGTAGGTTGGTCAACCGTTGAATGTTGGAGTCCCGAAAATAAAAGCTTCCGCCATTGCCAATATATCAATGGAGGGTCTCTATTTGTCTCTGCTTTGATAACAGATATCTTGGAAACTGTTATCCTAACAAACTTCAGTGTTCGAGGTTTTCATGATCTCGGAATTTTCGGGTTTGTTTTAATATGTAGCTTTAGAGAAGCTCGCTTCAGTATGGTTAGTTCGTCGAGTGGAATATTTCTCTCACAGTATGCATGTGCGAGTCTAATGCTCCACACAGATGCTGAAATATATTCCTTGTGTTACGTCAAACGTTTTTTGTACTTTGGACCTCAGCTTTGTGATATCATTGCGCAGAATAGTTAAAACCGTTTTTACTTTCGCTCTATTTTAATCATGATTCGACTACTGGAATCGGTGAATAATCAACAATCGAGCCGAATGCAAATGAGGTAATAGAGATACCGGTTTATCGGAAGTTCTGACCTCCATTTCTCTTTGAGTAAACAACACATTCCTGAGCTACCGAGATTGCACAGCTTTTATTTTTAAACCAAATTTTCATTCATTTATGGCCAGCTCCGCAGCTCCCTCGAAACGCAGTTACACCTCTGCACCGAAAAACCTACTTGACAGAGTGAGATTTTCTGAGGATTTACCTTTTCGGGTAGAATCTGAAGTGAGAATTTTCCTCATCGAGCGATTAATAAAAGCCTCTGACAAACATATGGCGTCATTACGTAAGGTGAGAAAAGATCACCCAAAACAACAATCTGCAGCAAAAACGCACCTGTATTTTTAGAGGAAAGGCAATATCCACGTGATAGTCTCCACAAGAAAAAAGAAACTTAGAATCAGAAAACTCAAATTCTAGATATTGATATACTGCATCACGGACAGTTAGACGAGGAACTTTACTGAACTTTCAGAATTGAATCTCTATTAATCGCATCAAAACATTTTAAAGAACGAAACATGTTTATTTTTAAAAATTACACACTGCTTAAGTCTCCTGACCAGAAAAAGCAGTTAGCATTTATGCATTAAAAGGGGAAAAATGTACGAATATAAGTACAATTTCTTCCTTCGTCTCTGGTCTCAGTAAAATGCTCTGATGCTGAGTAAAGAATTGGACTGCACCAAATGGGATGGAACCAAGTCACACCAATCGGACAAATTATTTTTTGTTTATTTTATTTTTATTTTTGTTCGAATTTTTTAAAAATAATTTTTACAAGAGAACGGGAGTGTGCTGTGCGCACATTCGAAACTTCCCCTCAATTTTTTTAAAGAATCTGTACAACAGTCTTCCCGAAATTGTTCGATGAAATGACAGTGGCTTGTGTGATTTAGTTCCTCTAAAGTTCAACGCGGTACAATTTTTACCGATGGATTTTCGCCGAGATGGAAAAATTTTAACCACCAATTGAATCAGTGAGAACAATAACACACCAACTCGGTAACTCAAAAATGCTCAGTTTCCATTAAACACAGTTAATTTACATAAAGGTCATTGATGTTATAGCGCATCCGTTCCAACTTGGACCCTTAAAGTGTCCATAAGTGCTTGCCTTTTGGCAGCAAAAATATGTTTCTTAAGTTAAGCTCTTCAACTACTCTGCCGTGCTACGGAAAAACGCCGTATAAACATTCGAGAGTTGCCAAATTTCCTTCGATAAAATTTTTATTTTTGAGAAATGCTATGAATATTTTGCCTTTAAATTTTCAGAAACTTTTGGTGAAATTGTGAACAAAATTATCTGAAAAATTGGAATGAAAATATCCCCAAGTTTACCAAGAAATTAGTGTTTTATCAAAGGGAATTTGGCAACCCTTGAAGGTTCATACGGCGTTTTTCCTTAGCACGGCAGTACTGTGCAGTTATATGTGTGTCTCGATTATTTTCATTTTTCCGAGTTGGTGTGTTTTCGTTCTCACTGATTAAATTTTAGTAGGGATTTTCTTGTACTCCACACCTGATTCACCCCAAATTAATAATGTTTCTCTTTACTTGTGTTTCAGGTGGAGCAGGAGTAGAGAGTAGCGTTGGATGGTGAAGATGACCCGGTGTCGCGGCAATGACGTCACCGAGAGTGAGTGTCGCTCGTGTTTCCCATGCAACGGGCCCGGGCTCGAACCGGAAGCTGCCGAAAGTGATAGTGCGATTACCTCTTCGGCCCTCTTTCGGGATTCGTGCAATTTTTGCCGCGAGTGTTCAAATAGTGTAGTTATGACGTCGCGGAGCGTATTTCGCGCGTCTTTAGCCGTAGTTTTATCGTTGTCGTTGTTATCTTGTGCCGATGCCTTTAACCTAGACACGGAAAATTGTGTGAGGCACCGAGGACCGCCCATGTCCATGTTCGGATTCAGCGTCGCCGAACACAAGGAGCGTGGATCTAGCTGGTGAGTCCTCTTTTCAAAATTTTGCCTCTTGTTTTAGGTTCTTAATTTAGAATTTACAGGTTTTATGAAGTTCATCTGTGTGTGCAGCAAGAACAAATTGAGCTGTGCAAGGGGATAATCTTGGTTTTAAAATTGAAAAAAAAAGGAACTGGAAAAAAAGAACACATTGGATCTAGAGTCCAGACTCTTAAAAACATCGACAAGAAAAAATACTCTTGATTCAATCGGATTTTTGCTTAAATCAAGAACCAAGCCTCTTAATTTGAGCGGATTTCCTTTTGTATAAGCTTAAACCTGATTGAATCAAGAGTCCTTTTTCTTGTCAATGTTTTCAAGAGTCTGGACTATAGATCCAATGTGTTTCTTTTTCCAGTGTGTCGCAGGTGATATAAAAAAATGACTGAATCTGCTAAAGTACGTGTTTTTAAATGGCTTACATTTTGCCATCGGGAACAACCCTTTCTGGCTCATCCGTAAAAGCACTTATGTATATAGGACTAATGGTACTTACGCTGTATCAAAACTGATCCGGACATTGTATTTCCAAATCACAAAATGCAGTCCTTATGGGAAATGTCGTCAGATGAGGTCACAAGGCGATTGATTGTCTTACTTTTAAATATTTTTCTCTTCAATTTCCTCAAGAAAAAAAAGTAAAAAAAAACTGCGAACATAGCTCATTAATCACTCTTAGGTGAAGCAGGGCCGTTTTTTCGTGATATTTCTCCGTCGGGCTTTCTTTTTGCTTTTCTTTTCGCGAATCAGATCATATATGCTCTTATTCAGACCTTTGACTCATTTCTTGCTCAATACGAACGGTTCTTGCAGCCCCTCTCCAGCCCCACGGTAGAAGAGCTTCCTACCCATTTACTGTATTAAAAATACTGCCGCGAAATAAAATAAATCACGAGGAAGAACTAGGGCATGTTATACGAGAAATTATTTTTACCTATCCGCAGATGCGGCCGGTACCCGAGCCGAAGCCTACTCGCCAATTTCTTTCGCGTCGGAGTGCACTTGCGATTAAACGCTTGAAATATGAGGAACTTCCCAGCGCAACGCAGCAGTGCATTCGAGCTGCGTGGGCGGACGGAAAATTGCTCCACGCAACGACCTAACTCCATCCCCCCTCGAGCCCTCGAAAGCACGGAGACCTTCGAACGCGAGGGCTTACCCGTAGATACAGTTACGTCGTTTTAGACAGTCTGACGACGAATTGTCAGTTGGAAGTGATGGCGTCTATTTCGATCCGGAGGAAACACAGACGGAGTTTCCGACTCACCTGCCTCGGGCCGGCGCGGAGTTATTATGATAAGCCGAAACGCAACGCAATCTTTAAATAGGTCATTTATTTCCACGCGGCCGGCGCCCCGCGAGTCCGCTGAAAACTAGGCCGGACAGCCAGCGGTTCCTTGCCAAAATGGGCCGGGTTTCCGCGGTTATGAACCAGGAACGGGGGGTTTCGGTGAATTTTGGCAACGTTGGCGAGCAGATAGAGCTTGTCCCGCGGCTCTGAACCTCATGGCGCCCCTCCGAGGCGCGACGCACACAAAAGACTAAATCTGTCACACGGACGATGATGCGTGATGTCTGTCGAGCAGATGATGTGTGGGAGATGATTGATTCTGATGAATTTCGTTGGTCTGGAGCGTATCAGAGCGTGGAGGAACTTTCCTTTGACTTAAGTTTCTCGACCGGGAGGAAATAGTTCAAACGGGCGATTAGGGTGAGTAACCGCGACATTTGTGTAGGTGGATTCACTAGAAAAAAAAACCACATTGGATCTAGAGTCCAGACTCTTGAAAACATTGACAAAAAAAAGGACACTATTGATTCAATCAGATTTAAGCTTAAATCAAAAGAAAATCCGCTCAAATTAAGAGGCTTGGTTCTTGATTTAAGCTTAAAACTGATTGAATCAAGAGTATTTTTTCTTGTCGATGTAACTAAGAGTCTGGACTCGAGATCCAATGTGTTTTTTTTCCAGTGTTTGGTCCTGGATAGGTAGACTTGTTCCATTTCTGAGCATTAGAGGGGATTATGTTAAGCTAATTGCAATTTTTTATTGCTATTATTTTGGAATGTATTCCAACAAAGTATCGCACCTTAAGATGTGGTAAAAATGAACAAGTTAGAAATTTCAAAATTTTTCCTGATCTGGGTTGAAGTAAATTATACTGAACGTTGAATAACTTGAACACACCTCCCCTTCCTTTGAAACTAAAATAATATTATGCACACTAGGTAACGCACGTATAGGTATATACTAGTTGTTGATGATGAAGGTCTGTGTTTTTAGATACTATCCAAATAATTTGATGAGGGATATAGGCATAAAATAGTTCACACAGCTAAGTCGTGAATACGAGGGTTGATCCATCGTTTATTAACCTGAGTGAGATGAGGGTGGGTGGTGTCTAGAAAAGGATGTGTCAAGCCGCGTGTGATAGGAATTAGGTCAAGGGCTTCATAAAAATGATTACTCTTGTGGATGGAGGTCAAGATTACATTATATCGATCCGAATTTCGCAACTGAAACCAATGTCATCCAACGGGCATCATTCTGAAACGCCGGGATGAAAAATTCCTAAATTAGGATTTTGAAGCCACGAACAGCTGAATTTATAAAACTCAATGTCTGCAAAACTATCTTGTCTGACATGGGAAGTTTCAATCCCTTCAGATCGACTTGATCATCCTCCTCTTATCGAGACACATTTAGGTACTTCCTGAAATTCCTTCATCCCTGTGAAACTACCGCATTTTATGGAAAGTCCGTATAATTTAGCTAAATAACGCACGTCATGGACAGTTCATACGATTCATTTGAACCGGCCTTTCATGGAGGATATTATAGTTAAGAAAGGGGGAAAAAAGTCATGCATGAAAGATAGAAAGGCCCAAAACGGCTCTTTATTCGTGGAAATTCTTATAAATTGCCTTCTCTAGACCACGGGATGAAAATAACCTGGAATGGAATGGCTCAGAAATTCTTGTCATTTTCATTTCGTCCAAAAAACTCTATATATTCCCGGGACATATTTTCACCCATAAGGCTCCAAACACCCTGTGCGGTTTCCTTCGTCCAGAATGAGTAATCTCTTTCCAAGTCACACCTACCCACTCCAGCTTGCGATTACGTCACAACTGAACGGGAGGGGGGGGGGGTTTGCTTCGACTTGGGACGTTTAAACGCAAGACACGACGACAGACACGACGACGTCCGTCGCCGTGAGGCTGTCGCACGACCGGACGCCATGACGCCATGCTCCCGTACACCACCACTGTCGTACGTGACCCACTGAGCAGAGGAGAAATTGTGCACCTGATGCTCAGGGAAGCTGACGGGTAAACCCACTGACGCCAACTTTTGCCGAACAATCGTTCTTGTTGGACAGTGGGGCTCTGGACAAGGCAGGATCATGGCCTTTTCCCAATAGTTTCTTAAAAAATGCGTTACCAAACGGAAAGTGTCAACCCCGACAGAACATTTAAATGAGCATGAGAAGCTATGATAATTGGCGTTAGTCTAATGGCAAACATATGAATGGCGTTATTTGTGAAATTTGTGGTAGCTTTTATCAGTAAGTTAAGTGTACATCTGACTACATCGCTTAGAGGCTCATTTCCAACCTTTCTGTCGCATAAATCACTTTTTACGGAAAATTCCTAAAAGGTAATGTGTAAGGTATCCAAAATCCTCTAGAGACAAGCTCCCAATAAACTTCCATCGCGATAATTCATTGACTCTCTCCAGCAACCTCCAGATTCCTGTAGTGTAGTGGTTTTAGCGCTAGTTCTAAGGTTAGGAGGTCCTGGGCTCGATTTCTTGCTAGGTGATCCAAATTTGATGATCTCAAGTAACTGTTGCTGAGGACTGATCGTTGAGTAGGATCGAGAGGAGAGTGGGCTCTGAGCGCTTAAAATAATGTATGTTATTAAGAAGAAAGGAAGAATAAAAACAAGAATTGATCTCGCCTTGCAGTGATGAACTGATTTTGCTCGAAGGAAGTGCTGAATCTCGAAATTAAACGGTCGATTCTATCATTCTCAAAAAGTTTTAAGAGCCAAAATTATAAGACGAGAAGAAGACTCAAAAACGTTGAAATCGACCCGTCCCAAATCTCATGGCTCCAAAATATTAAAGCATTAACGTGATTATCCATATTACATCTTATATTTAACCTAGGACTTAAAACGGGTCGATTAATACAGTTCTTACTGTTTTCTCGTTATTTTTCATTACTGGCGCTTAAGTCTCTATGAGAATGACCGATTTATTAGTCTCATGGGTCTCTCGTCTACCTTTTCTTAGTCTCAAACCTCCTCAAGGAAAGCGTCAAGGAGTAGTGGCAAGCCGGCGAGGCGCGGCGCGTCGCGACGGTGTGAGAACGCCCGGCGTGGCTGCATCCCGCATGACGCGGCGCGGCTGGCGTCGTTACGGTGGTAATTACAAGGGAGATTAGCGACCCGCTTCCAAGAGGCTGGTAAACTGGGCAGGAGACATAGACACGGCGGAACCGCAGAGCGAGGAGCCGAGCACGAGAACAAAAGACCCGGACCCGGACCTGGCCAGGAAGAAAAGGATGCGATCCGCTTAGCGGAAACGTACGGCATAGCATCAACTCGGGTCCCGGAGTCTGTGCTTTTATTCCTTGCCAGCTAGCTGAGTTCCAATCTCATGAATCGGACCGTCCTCAGGAAGCTTACAGTATCTTAAAATCGTCGCCAAAACCAACGGATCGGTGTCAAATGGGCCTGTTGCAAACTTTTGCTAGAGCAGAATGAAGAGTTGTTTCCTATAGATAATGCCTCAAAAATCACGATGAGCGCATCGGCAAAGTCTGAAATGCACTCATAAATTCACAATCTGCGTAAGAAATTTGCGTTATTTTGAGCTTCCCGCTTCAAAAACGATACTACTGCACAGGTGAACATTTTGTTAGA